CCTCAACCAAACTCGCACACGATGCCTCAACACATGCGTCGCGAATCCTCCCAGTCTGCGCACAGCGACATGAGCAACGCAAACATGGGCCGCGGCGGCTCGTACTCCAACCGAGGTGGCCGTGGTGGATTCCCTCCTCAAGGTCAATACAACCCGCACATGGCCAACCATTCGCCACAGCCGTTCCGCCCGATGCCTCAGATGGGCCGCGGCCAGGCTGCGCCATTCCACCCTCCTGGCCCGCAGCGCTCTCCTTACACACAGAACCGTAGCCCTGCTATGACACCTGCCACTATGCATCAGCAACAGCACCTCGCTAATCCTCAGAGCATGCCATACTACCCGCAACAGCAGTACCCTCAACAGGCAAGTACATCCTCCGCTATTTCAGCAACTCCCTCAGTTTCTTCATCTCGCAGATCGGTTTTATCGACTGCATCGCGAGTTTCTCACAATTCTCCCATGTCCAGCCATGTTTCTGTCGGGACCGAGAGGCCTTTCAACCAAGGTCGATCGGACTCGGCAAATGTCCCCACACAAATTGTTCCGCCACCAAATGTTTCAGTCTTTTCAAGTACAAATATCGAATCATTCCTAACACAAATTTCCCCACAGGCTATCTACGGAGGCATGCCCCAGCCCAACTTAGACCCGTACAACAACTTCTACCCGCAGAGCTACGGACTTCAGCAGTCTATCCACTACCCAGGTGTTCCCGCCAGCCCAGGTCGTGGATTCCCTCCTCAAATGCAACCGTCTCCCTACGGTGTTGCCCCCTACGGTCATCAGCCACAGGCTCAGAGCATGTCGCGCACTCCCTCCAACATGTCGGAGCGCCCGTCATCTGCTGTTCCTCAGCCTTCCACACCTGCGATGACCAACGTCAATCACATCTCGCACACGCACACTCCTAGCATGACGGCGGCAAGCCCCGCACCTAGCTCCACCTTTGAGCGTCCGAAGAGGCAAAGCAAGGCCATCCAGATCAAGACTGGTAAGTTGCAATCTCTGCATGCGATGATATGACAATACTGACGGCGTATAGTTGATGGTGAGGTTGTCGACTTCAAGCCCAAGGGCGCCTCGCCTGCCCCGCCTGTTGTAGCATCCGCTGCACCTGCTGCCCCTCGTTCTCCCGCTATTGCTGCCACTCCCACTCCTCCGCGCGCGCCGAGCGCCACCGACTCTACTCGTGCTGAAGATACCGCTTCCAAGAAGGCCGAGTTTGTCAAGCAGTTCCAGGAGAAGCTCCGCCTACAAGAGGAAGCCGAGAAGAAGGCCAAGGAAGCTACAGAGGAAGAGGCCAAGGCCGAAGCCAATGCAAAGCTTGCTGCTAAGGAAGAGGCCGACGCCAAAGCTGCTCTTGAAGCCAAGGAGAAAGAGGATGCCGAAGCTGCCAAGAAGGCCGAGACTGACGAGGCCGAGAAGAAGCGCCTCGAAGACGAAGAGATGGACCGCATGATTGCCGAGATGGAGGCAGAAGAGAAGAAGCGCGAAGAAGATGAGAAGCGCTACGCCGAGGAGAAGGCAAAGAAGGCCGAGGCTGAGAAGGCCAACGCTGCCGAGAAGGTCAAGCAGGAGGAGGAGCGTCTGCGCAAGCTAGAGCGCGAAGCCGAAGAGGCTGAAGCCGCTCGCGCAGCAGAGACTCCTGAGCAGAAGGCCGAACGCGAGGCTAAGGACAAGGCTCTCTTCGCAAGCCTGAAGAAGAACACCATGTTCGGTCCCGGTGCCTCTCAGACTGAGGAAGAGGCGGCTCCCGCTGAGTCCGCAGCTCCTGTTGCCGCACCTGCACCCTCCAAGACCCCCACTGGCTCCAAGCCCAAGCCAGCTGCTCTCAAGCTCGAGACCAACAAGTCTGTCGAGCCCGCACAGCCGACTGCTGGTATGCAGGCACTCAAGACTGCACGTTTCCTCGAAGTTCGTGCTGAGGTTATGTATCCTCAAGGCGTAGCCAGTCCCAACCCAGCTCTTAACAACAGCAACCGGAGCAAGGGCCGCCAGTACGACAAGGACTTCCTCTTGCAATTCCAGGATGTCTTCAAGGAGAAGCCATCTGTTGACTGGGACATGAAGCTCAAGGAGACAGTTGGTGACGAGCCCCAATCTGCTCGCGGTCCTCCATCTGCTCGTCCTGGTTCTATGCATCTGGGCGCCGGTGGACGTCAAGGCTCTCGCCCTGGCGGTGGCGGTGGAATGGGTACATTTGGGCAAGGCGGTGGATTCCAGCCAGGAGGCCGCACACTCCCGCCAGGTACGACATCCGAACAGCGTTTCCAGCAAGCCCAAGGCGGACGCGGTGGCTCTATGACGAACCCTCTTGCTCATGTCGTTCTAGGTGGAGGTCGTGGTGGATTTCCTATGGGCGGGCAGTCGATGTCAGGACGTCAAAGCTCCTACCAGAGCGCCGACCGCAATCAACCCAATTCTCCTCGCGTTGGCAGCTCACGCGGTAGGGGCGGCCAAAACAGCCACAAGGGTGGCCGCGGCGGCCATGCTCAAGATGCCAAGCAAATGCCATTGACCGCCGGTCAGGAAGTCAAGGCACTCCAACGCTCGCAGACTGGTTGGGTGCCTACGTCGCTCACTCAGCCCGCTGCTGTCCAGGCCCAGATGAGCGCAGGCCACTTGGCTCCCGATATGGTACAGCGTAAGGTCAAGGCCGCTCTCAACAAGATGACACCCGACAAGTTCGACAAGATTTCCGATCAAATCCTTGAAATCGCTGGACAGTCAAAGGATGAGACTGATGGACGCACTCTTCGCCAGGTCATTCAGCTCACCTTTGAGAAGGCTTGTGACGAGTCTCATTGGTCGTCCATGTACGCCAAGTTCTGTAGCCGCATGTTGCAGACCATGAGCACCGAGATCAAGGATGAGAACGTCCGCGACAAGCACGGTGCGCCAGTTGTCGGTGGTGCTCTCTTCCGTAAGTACCTCCTCAACCGCTGTCAAGAGGAGTTCGAGCGTGGTTGGGAAGTCAACCTGCCCGAGGCGCCTGAAGGCGAAAAGGAGGCGAAGCTTCTGTCAGACGAGTACTACGTTGCCGCTGCAGCCAAGCGTAAGGGTCTCGGTCTGATCCAGTTCATCGGAGAGCTATACAAGCTGGGCATGTTGACTCTGCGCATCATGCACGAGTGTGTGCTTAAGCTTCTCGACTTTGAGGGTCTCCCCGATGAGGCCGCTATTGAGAGCTTGGTCAAGCTGCTACGCACTGTGGGTGCCACGATGGAGTCCGCCGAAGCCGGCCCCAAGATGATCAACATGTACTTCGAGCGCATCGAGAAGGTCATGAACATGGAGGGTCTTCCTTCGCGTATGCACTTCATGTTGCTTGACACCGTCGACATGCGCAAGTCCGGCTGGAAGTCCAAGGACATCCTCAAGGGTCCCAAGACCATCGCCGAGATTCATCAAGAAGCCATGGCAGCCCAACAGGCCGCCGAGATGGAGCGCACACGTTCAAACCAACGCGGTGGTGGTGGCCGTCTTCCCATGGGTCGCGGCGACGCTCGCTCGTTCTCAGGTGGTGGCATGCAGCCTCCTCCAGACACTGGCAGCCGTGTCCAAATGGACGATCTCCGCAAGCTGTCCAAGGGTGCTTCTGGACGCAACCTCAACAACGCTGGATCTCTCGGCCCGTCCATGCTTGGTAACCGCGCCGGTAGCCGCCGTGGTATGGGTATCGGTCCCGGCATGGGTAGTCGTGAAGACTCCAACGCCTCTTCGCGCAATGGCACACCACCAGTGCAGAAGGAGAAGGAGGCCACTGCTCATGCAAACGCTTTCAGGTAAGATCCGTGCTGTTTTTACTCGAGATCTTTACTAACATATGTCACAGTGCACTTGCTGCTCTTAGCAACGAAGACGCCGGCGAGGCTGGCTCTACATCCAACGCGGCAGATGAGTCTGCTGCCGACGCGGAGGCCAAGCCTTCCGAGTGATTACCTTTCCTTTCGAGCGCGTGACGGTTATACCCATAGACCACACCGCACGCGGTAATCTAATCGCCTGTTTCGTTGCATAGAAGGGGGCATCAGCGCGCGCATTGTTCTGCATTTCGCGGGGTTTCATTACTGCGACTTTCAAGAGCGATGGATTCCAAAAGTTTCCTTGTTGTCTGACGGCCGGTCTCACGAAATGGGTTTGGGTGTTCAAACCATTGGTTGGTACAAGCCTCGATGACTCTTTTTATGCGCATGCTTCATGACGGCGTTCCGGATCTGAAGATGGGGATGGTCTACACCACACGCTTTTCACGAGCGCTCTGGGTGGGCATTTTGGCCAAGTTTTCCTCAGTCCTCCATCTTTTCTTTGCGCTGCGATTTCCTTGGGGTAGGGAGGACCAAGAGGTAGAAGGAGTACCGCGTCTTCCTGTGGAGGTCTCTCCAATCCCGCTCCCCCTTTATGCGCATGTTATCCTCCTTTCCTTCTTTTTGCCTCTTACAGAGAGTGGTGGCTTGGTGATGCGGTGTCCGCCGACGATAGCAAACTTGCTTAGGCATGCACTTGCGAAAAAGATCCTGCGTACACGAGAGCAAGATCTACGAGGAGATGACTCTTTGTGCAATAGCTTGATCTAGTTCGAATAAACTGGTAAAAAATTATGACTCTGCTTCTGTCTGTGATACTGTCTGCGATGCGCCTGGGCCAAGGGAAGTCTGCGTCCGCCCCTGAAACCGTTGAACGCACGTTCCCCTCCCATGATGTGATGTGATGTAAACGTCGATCTTACTGCGGGACGTTTGCAGACGGCAGGAGCGTTGCGCGTCTTTGCGCAACTTCCAGGTGAGGGGCAGCGCGCAGGGATGCAGGTGAGGATGGCGCAACTGGCTACGTCATAAGGACAGAGTGGTCAACCACATATCAGAACATCAGGCTGGCCGAAGTAAGCACATTACACCTCACTCTCAACACTTCCTAAACCGAAACTTCAGACATCTTCACATCAGACTTTATATATCGACCCGAATCACAGCACGAGTCTACCACACAAAGCAATCATGTCCGACCAGAACAACCAACAGAAGGGTTTCTTCGGCACCGCTGCTAGCGGTCTCGGTACGTCCCATCTACCTTTTCGCTCTCCAAGCATCACGACAACGTATAGATCAGAGTCTTTGCTAACAGTACAGGAAACACTCTAGGCGCCGCAACAAACACCGTCGGCAAGGGCGTCCAAGGCGTCACTGACGCTACCGGCAATGTAGTCGCGGCTGGTGGAAAGGGACTTGGTGATGCTGTTACGGGTATCACGCAGGGTGCTGGTGATACTACTAAAGGTGAGTGCCCCTAGAAACGGCCGGGTTTGAATAAGTTTGGCTGACGTGTTGTGATAGCGGCGGGCAACTTCGTTGGCGACACAACCAAGGCTGGCGGCAGGAGCGTGGGTATGGAGCAGAAGGATAATCAGACTGGTGGACAGTAGAGGAGCGGAGATGATTGCCTGCTATGGCGGGAGTAAGCTTGCTGATGAAGAAAGCGAATAATTACTCTTGAGGTCGGCATGATGCCAATGAATAACAACAAATGTTGCCTATGAAAGCTCTTGATGAGGAAAATTGGTACGCAAGTGCATGTACACCCTTTGGATGTACCAGAGTCACGAGACTGACTAGTCACACTAGCTCGAGCGCTTCGTGCGTCGAGGGGTATAAATACCGTCTTTATTCTTTCCCAACCTTTCTTTCCATCATCAACTACTTGCCATTTGCCCTCTCCAAAATTCAATAAGCTTGTCCGTATGAGTGGACGTCGAGACCAAACTCAAAACAAAACCCTCACTTTCTATGGATTTCTCGCCTGCACCTCAAAGTCATTATCGGAGACACAATGGTGTTTCCTGCCAACCACACTTCTATTGAATTATTTCAAAAACATTACGATGACGTCCTATGTTTGTCGCGTCCTGCAGACAAAATCAACAAGCTAGCATTTGATGTGGAAGTTCTTGGTGACAGACTGCCACTATTGTCCAAAACAATCTTTTCTGCGTTTCATGGCCCTCTCTCTGCGGCTTCCAAAACTACAAGCTTCTCAATGCATGTTGGTGTATACAGACCTTTAATTCCGTCCAAAGCGAAGTACGACAACCACATGAGGCGCACGCACTGCCCCGACCGCTTCGCATTTCATCCTGGAACCGTGCGCTGGCTGTATAAATACTTCCTTCTATTTTCCTCACTCTTGCTCTGAACATCCACAGCCTTTTGGCTCTTTCCAAAACTACGTAAAGGCGCACCATGAAGTCCTGTCTCCTCCGTCGTCCGAAAAAGCAACGTTGAAATGCTTATGTGCTCGCCTGCCGCCTTTTCTCCCAGAACGGTGGACCTACATCGGCCATGGAATTTCTAGTCTTCCAAAGTTCATCTCATCCTACCCAATGAAAGAGTTGAGTTTCTCTTCTCGCAGAACTAAAAGCCTGTCTGTGCCCGCTATGTGCTGAGGCGTACTTCTACATTGAGCCACCGCCAAAGTCTTCAAAATCCGGCATACAAGAATTGTTGCGCGCTGTGAGACCTTGCGCGCTGTTATCATTCCAAAACAATGCGATCTCCATGGCATGTTCTCTCCTCCTTCGGCTAAGAATACACGATACTGCAAACTCATGTTGTTTTCGCGTGTCTCAGTGCTGGAGAGCCTTATGCAATGGCCCTAGCGTACGGAGCTGCTTTTATATAAAGCGTCTTTATCTCGACTGTTCTCTTTCTGTTTTCGCATCTTCCAAACCACATTCAATTCAAAACTTCGCAGGTGTCTATGATGGCCGCGGCCTTTCGGGACTTTCTAAACAACACAAAAACAAGATCATGTGTGTGCCCTGTTGGATTAAAGATGTTCATAAAGCACATAATGCTTCTCGCTGTCTCTAAGATTGGCATTTATGTTGCTGCTGAGTGACTATCTTCTAAAATGCCCAACCAACTAAGCGATGTGGTGAGAAGTCAACACCAAAAACTGTACAAATGAAAAGGCAATGTGGGCATCGACTTGGATGCTCATCTATACAAAATGTTTTATTCACGTCTTATGAGACAGCCATTTGCAGTCGCTCGCAGATATGCAGGGCGGCTTTACCGACAACCTTCCAAAAAGCAACACTTAGACCGTATGTCCGCTCTTCGATCTAGCGACAAGAGTACTAGTGTGACTCCACCTTTTACGTATAAAGCCACGCCCTCACGTCATTGTTTAGACAGTAAAATACTATGCTTGTCACCAAAAACGAAATCCCCTCAGGTACATGGAGTTGGCTGGGCTGCGGCTTTCCTATTCAAACAAACCATCTCAAAAGGACTTTTATGTCTCCCTCTTTGCAGACGTATTGATATCTGCATGAGAAAACGGTCGCATCGGGATAATGATGGACGCCACCAAAGCCCTCCTTTCGTGAGTCTACATATATAGTGATTCTCTTCCCACTGTATTTGAGTTCAAGCAGATCAATGCGATGGTTTTGCAACTATCGCGCACCTACGCTGTCTTCACATCTAAAAGGCCGCAATGTTGTAAAAGCTGGTACTCATAAACGACATGTTTGCTGTCTGAAGGTTTTGTCGTACTATACGATGAGAAAGACGAGATGTATACCTTCGCGTATGCACTTTTCTTTACCGAAGAGTTTCGTGGCACTGCGTCATGAGAGATTGAACGAGAAAACTGTCGTTGTCAGAACTAACGAGATCGCACCTATCGCCTCGTTAGCACGTGCCAAGCTTGCGCGGAGCATTGTGCTTCAGAAAAACAGGGTCAAATGGGATGAGGGACGGCTCTAGAGATGGGTGCTAGGATCAAATGTCCTTGAGCAGCGCGATCTGGTCTCGTATGGGTTCCCTAGCCAGTGCGAAGGAGCTCTTTGAAATCGTTACGACTGCCACGATCGAGCTGGTGCAGTGGAAAGACGAGGAAAAGGCCTTCATTCTTCTGATGATAACGAGAGACATGATATATGAACAATATAATACAATCATGAACCTGTCGTACTTGCTCACCCTACGCGACCCTCAGAAAGTCAAGTAGCCACTCCTACGAGCGACTAATCGCGACTAATCTCCACATGCCGACTAACAACAATACTATCTTTGTTGTTATTCACAAATCGATCGTTCTTCTCCAAAATCTCCTTCTGACTCTCGCTATCGCTCGATACACTAACACGTCCCGCATGAACCTTGATTGCTGGCATATGCGTGTCCTGGTTGTCGGCGACAGTGCCGAGCTCGAGTTCAGTATCAAAAGGCTTGTAGCGGTGCGAACGGTCGGGGTTGCTGACACCGTGAGGTGTGCCTGAGCGAGGCTGGTGAGAGCCGCTCGAGCCGAGATGTAGGAGACGCTGGAAGAGTGGGCGGAGGGTTGCGATGTTGCCGACGAGCATGCCGAGGGCGGGTTCGGCGTAGCCCCAGATGAGGATGTTGGCGAGGCCATCTGGGAGTGATGTTAGTGATGCGATGTGATGCGGATCTGGAGGTGCTTACAAAGATAGTCGTGGCTGCTTGTCAGGCCAACGGTGTACTTCAGACGGACCAGACCGGAAATGGATGTGCTAGAGCGATGTTAGCGGTGTACAGTGACCAGTCAAATTCATGCATTTGCCATACAAGATACCCAAGCTCAAGATGCCACCGACTGAGATCTTGGTGTTCCTGTTCATCTGAACGTTCCAGAGCAGAGCGATTGGCCTAGTCTTTGTCAGTGCCCATTCGATGGCATGATTTTGAGATACTCACATGAGCGCAGTAGCCCAGTCGGTGAAGATGTTGACCGAAGTGCAGAAGAAGTAGACATTCTGCAGATACACTGGGGGCTGGCAGTAAGTACCTTCGGCCATGAGATCAGCCCTCCAAGCAGCTCTGAGAAGTATACGGTTAGCATTGCCACATGATGCCGAATTGCTTTTTACTTACTCCACCGGCCAACACTGGAAGATGATGTACAGGATAGCTGCCAGATTGGTCGCCGCGCAGAGGCCCATGATGCCGTAGTTGATGTAGATATAGACCATTCTCCTGCCGGCTATCCGGTTCAGCATGAAGGCGATGCTCAGCTTGACGAAGATGATGGATGTGCAGTAGAAGACCTCGTAGAGAAAGAACCACTGAATGCTGTTAGCCACCGACCAATTCGGTGTTACACTGGATGATGACTCACGAAATATGCTGTCTCGACGTATTTCTGGTTGCCAGGCTTAGCAAAAGTACTGTCTTTGGCGCCGATACCGTAATAGGAGCCGATAGTGGTGACGATGGTCAATGTCATGAGAGGTAGCTGTGGAGAGTGAGCTCAGTGTGTTCTCGACGACTGTGAAGGTTAGATACATACGCATCCTACTGCCATTACCCAGTCCTCAAGAGCCCAGTTATGCTTGGTGATTCTGACATACGCCCGCATACCCATGGTGATGAAGGCAAGCAGCCCCGTCACAAGGACGGTCGCCGTGAGGTTGGGGCCTAGATCCTGCATCAAAGTCAGCGCCACTCAAGGCGTCCCATTTGGTTCAGCTTACCTCATGAAGTGTCATTCTGAATTGCTTTGTGGGTTATAGTTGCCGTTCAGTACGTATTAGTTGTGTTGAGCTACAGCTGGTGCTCTCGAACAACTTGCGGAGTTGAATGGGGCCAGAGTGGGGAGAGGTTTGACATTCTTGGGCTGTTGAAGTATACAAACAATGCTGCAGAGACCAAGGTTCCAAGAGAATGGATGGAACGCTTTGCATTCACTGCCTGGTATAAGATCGCCAATGAATTTCCCGCGACCCCTTCACCCGCATGGGTGTGCATTCGGTCGATCAGGGCGCCGAGAAGACAACATGCAGAGTGGGTTCCGCTATCACGACATGTCTTACTGCCCCTGATGCTGCCATCACGATCTATCGTTTTCGGGTACCCGCATTCCTGTTAACGTCGTCACACCTCGGTATTCCGATGTGTGCGTCCTCGCTTCCGACGTGTCAGATCCCCAGAGTTTGGACAAACATTGCGTGGGCATGTGAGTATCTCTGGTCAAGCTTGTCGGATCGAAACCACGAGTCGCTAGACGAATGAGTACGCGCCGATAGCGATGTCGATACGATTCGGACCGGATTGAGGAAATTGGGGGTTCTGCATCGATCTCAGGTGAATGTCAAAAACAGGGTCCGCAATTCTACGCTAGTCTCTAAGCGGAGATGATCATCGCCTTCGTTCGCTCAAACATTCCCAACGGGCTTCGCTTGGGACGTTCCGCAACCTTAACACCTCACTGCCGACGCCCCGGTGCCAACATGCCAACGCTTTTATTACATGGTTTGCTATGACCAAGTCGTGCTTCATGGGTGGGGACACGACGAGGCGATTATCGCAGCCCGAATGCGGGGCCTCTGGCCCCAGAGCCTCGCATAAGTTAACACAGTGGACTGTGGTACTTCTAGACTCTGATTAGTATCTTTGCGTT